GTTCACTCTTTTCCACCTCATTCAATTCTACCTCTTCCTTGACCGCCTCATCATGCCCCTCTCCTAACCCATCTCTTCCTCTCCCCTGCCACCACCACCGCCGCCTCTGCCCGCTGCCGACCTCCAGCCACCGTAGTCAGCTGAAGCACAACTTTTGTATCGACGTGCTGGAGCGCGGCTGCCACCACGCGCACACGGAGATGTACCACATTTTGCGGCGCGACTCGGCGCAGAAGGCGGCCGCCAAGGCGCCGGCACCGCTGATCGAGGAGACGCCGCACAAGCTGCAGAAACTCAAACAGTGCCTGGTCGACGTGGAGGAGTCTGTCCGACGACGTGCGACCGCAGGACGGGATGGGGATGTTTCGCTTAGGCGTGGTTTCTAGGGTTTTAGAGAGTTGCGTGGCCTTTGACCAGCGTTGAAATTGCCCAATGCCCATCATGAATATTGTTTTTTTTAAGGCGGAAATTCATTCCTTTGTCTCTTCATTCATTTATTCATTCATTCATTCATTCATTTATTTACTCGCTCTTTCATTGATTCTTTCATTCATTGATTCATTCATTCATTGATTCATTCGTTTATTGATTCATTCATTCATTCCCACTCTCATCGACATTAATTTATTCATTCACACATTCATCAGCATTCATTCATTCATTCATTCATTCATTCATTCATTCATTCATTCATTCATTCATCCATTCATTCATTCATTCATTCATGCATCATTTCCTGGGTTCAATCATTCATTCATGCATTATTTCCTGCGTTCAATCATTCCCTCAACTGTACTCAGGTGTGACTTGGTGTGCTTGTGTGCCATTTTTGTCCTAAATTTTGCGCTTTTTATCTTGCAACCAACTTGAAACATTGTTTTGTATCTCATGCCGGATGCCCCACGATGTCGTAAGACTGTTAGTTTCCTCCCGTTTTTGTTGATAATTGTACGTGAAGTGAACATTGTACGCTTTCAGACGACTACATGTCCGCCTACGGATCGGCCAACGATCTCGCTTTCTTCTTTCTGAAGGACCCTCCTGACCTGTGGCTGGCTAACCACTTCTTCGACAAGTGCCTCGAGTTCGGCAAGAAAATCGAGGACGATGGCAAAATGCGGGAGAGCGAGGCTCACTGCAACGTGGGAATCATGTGGTTCTTCGAAGGTAAGTGCGTCTCTATGACTCATCTTCCCTGGAAATTAATGGACAGTAAGGGTTGACAGTTTTGTTGCTGGATAGTTTTTCTTCAACCACACACGTGTCGGGGTGTTGTTTTGTAAGCTGTCGTGTTTTCCATTGTGTGTTTTTTGTGAACGACGTCCAGCTTCAACTACTTTCCGTTGTATCCCCGATATAGCTGATGATCGGAATTCAGTAGGCGGTGTATCTTTTCCGTCAATCGCCTTAGACCCGACACGTATCGTCTTCCTAACATCCCGCATCTGCGCTCCTGCAGACAACATCAGCGCTGCGCTGACGCACCTGGAGAAGTTCCGCCGGCTCTCCTACAAACAGGTGTGGGAGACAATGGACAACTACAGCTACTACCGCTACTCGTGCCTGCTGCTGCAGGACGTCTACCTCAGCCAGGCGGTGGCCGCCGAGAAGGAGGACCTCGAGAAGGCCTTCAAACTCTACCTCAGAGCGTCCGTCATGGCCAACCAGGGTCAGTGCCGGCGGGAGACGGGACCGAGATAGGGTGGTATGGCTGGTTAGAAGTGGTTCGGATGACACTATATCGCTGAATATTCGTTGATTTGAAACCCCATAAAATGCGTTTTCGCACTCATTACTTTATATACCTTTAATCAGATGTATTCAGGCTAATTTCGTGATATTGTTCTTAGTTGTCGATAAATGAATCGATATACTAAACCACTCAGCTGCAGCTGCTATATCAGACCCGTTTGAGTCATCAACTAGCACCGACATCTTATCCTTGTCGTAATACTCAAATCCCGTCGCCTCGTCATTTTATTTCTTATTCCCGTCCGACAGCCCAGAACATGCAGGCCGAGGCGATGGCTCAGTACAACCTGGGAGAGATCCAGGAGAAGATGGGCAACTGGCAGAACGCGCTGCGCCGCTACGAGGCCTACCTGCGGCTCTCGGACAAACTGCTCAACTTCAAGGGAGTCTGCACGGGCTGCTTCAAGATCGCAAAGTGTCACGCCGCGTGAGTAAGGGGCCGGCAGGGGATGGTGGCTGAGATAAGATGTTAAGACCGCATTGTGATATCATGAAATGTGACTTGCCGAAACGCAGGAATTCTACGGACTTTTGAGGCAGTTAGTTACTAGGTTTTGGGATTGCAACCCTGCTTGTCTGAACAGAAGACCATCCGCGTTTCCGTGTTGCTGGCTGAAAAATGATTTACTTAGTATTTCTGGATTTTTTTTTTGTATACATTATCAGCGACGTTTCCGGTTTAGTACAGCATTAGCCGTTCTAGTGGAAGAACTCTTGATTGTTTTGCTCTCCCGAAGCACAGCAAGCTATCGCTCTCACTTACTGTTCGTTTATACTCTGTCTGACCCCAGGATGGGTAAGCTCCCTTTGGCGGTGGACAATCTGAAGCGCAGTGAGCACATAGCGCGCGGACAGCACCTGGACGAGGAGATTATACGGGCCAGCTCGGAGCTGGGACACATCTACCTCTCCATGGTGAGGGCACCTATTAACCAGTCAGTCCTCTAACCCGTAATCATGGCTATTAACCGCAGGCATCCCGCGCCCACGGTGCCTCTCGCTGACGAAATGAGAAATCAATAGATTGTGCTGTCATGATAGCAAGAGCTTTGTTTGGGAGAAATGAGTGCTGTGGGGTCTGACGGGAAGGGAAACTCGAGTCAGAATTCCATGAGTTATGGTCGCTATTCGTTCGTGATTGTTCAGTTGCGGAAACATCAGTAGTTTGTAGTGATGCATTGATAATATTGTACGGCTTAAATTCGCAGCCATTCTCGTTTGAAGTGTTCCGGACTTATGAGCCTATGTCGTTGGTCCTCCCTCAGTTATCTAACCATCCCTCGTCTCTGTCCACGCCAGGGTAAGAACGACCAGGCGTTCCGGCAGTTCTCTCAGGCGTGGAACTACGTGGAACTGGCCGAGAGCGTCATCAACGACCACAGTTACGTGGCGAGCGCGATGGTCGGTATCAGCAGCGCCAGCCGTCTGGTGGTGGACTTCAGCGACCTGGTGTACCGCGCCGAGCCGGAGCAGCTGCAGAGCCTGCTGCTGTGGAGGGCCGCCAGACAGGGCGTGCAGGCAGAGGAGGCGCCCGCCGCCCAGAACAAGTGGATGTAGTGGAACGTGGGGCGTGGGGGAGAGCGGGGAGGGGAGGGAGAGACTGGGAGACGAACGACGCGCGACGGTGTTCGTTGTTGGACTGTGTGTTGGCTGTTACAGTGAGATTGTTGAATTAATGGCTAGTTTGTTGCAGATTTGAATCAAGTGTGGAAAGGATGCTATCGATAAGGTTTATTAGCCGGATTGGTCACGAGGCTGCGGTGTGTTGTCAGCGACTTTGAAGGAGACGTCACATATTTGTTATTGCTAGCTCAAATTATGGCTGCTCGGGTGGCCAATGTTTTTTTTTTCCAGCAACTTTTGTCTGAACATTCTTGGCATCATCGGTAATCGCGTACATAAATCTCTGTTCGGCTCAATTGTCTGCCGTCACTTGTTTTCCATGTCTTCTTTTTGATGGCCTTGATTTGGTAGACATCCACCGGTCATTCTATTGTAAAGTGCCATTGCAATATAGGTAAACAATTGTTAACTCGTCCTTTTCTGAATGACTACCCCTTTTCATTTTACCGAATTCCTCGATTTACTGCCAATTTCTGACACGTAGTGCAGGTCGCTCACTGTTGCTGCTCCCGTTTATTGCTTGTCACGGGGCGGAGCGATGACGGACGGGGGTGGTCGCTGTCGTCAAAAAGGCGACGGCTGTGTACAAGACATGGCCACATGTAGGCAATAAACGGCATAGGAAGCATCGCTGATACTTACCAAGGCCTGGTAAAACCGAATTTCTAGGTACCTTGCGGCGATGACATCCTGTTGAGGAAGTGGAGAGTGAAAACATTCACAGGCAGGTGCCAGGTAGAAATACAATGAATATGGGAAGACGATTATTTGATTTACCGATTAATTGACGATTCTCGATCTGTCTTGCAGTTGTCCAATATGCAAGATAGGTAACACTAGAAACAAAGATCCAATGATAAATCAAAGTGCCTACCAAACTTGCGCGAAATTGCATCACCGTTCCGTGCTTCTATCCTCAGGATACTGAAATCCTTCTCCTCCACGCCGCAACCTCCCTCTGGGCTGGACAGGCAACTTTATCTCATGTGGGCTGCTCCCTTGGAGCGGCACCGCTGCTCCCGAGGGAGCGCACCCCGTAGCCGGGTGCAGTGAGTGCCTTGGGGCTGGGTGGCCTGTCCTCTGGACGGGCTCAGCCCCGGCGACTCACTAGGGTGCCTGCCCAGACCAATGTCTCCCCCTATATCCTATCATCCTCCCGGCTCTGAAATGGTCTTATTGGACCGAAAGGGCCTAACCCAACAAAACAAAACAAAAGCGAAATTACATCGTCGTTCTCCACACCATGCGCCTTGCTGTCAATTTTATTTTAATTTCGAAACAACACAGTCGTCTGTATTCAATCAGAAACCACTAGTTCGTGAGTAACCGAAGGTTTGTTGTCAATAGTTAAAACACTATTCTTTAGAATTGTGTTTTTCTATTGAAAAACAAATCTGAGTTCCCTGACAATTTGGCAAAAGCTTAGGCCAGGAAAGACAGAGCGACCTTCGTGCAGGACGGTCGTTTGCATGACCGTAGTGACCTTCCCTCGGTCATCGCTGAATCATCTGAACTGGAACCCGGCTGGAGCATGGAGCTACTGGGGCGTCATCTTTTCACCAGTTAGTAACTTTTTCTGCCGAGAGGTGCCTCTGTCTTGACTTCTCGTGACCTTGCGAAGGCCTGAAAACGCGCTGCATTCGCCCGATTTGTCCTGTCGTCTGCTATTCACTTTGCATATAAATCCCAAGTTTGAGTTGAAGACTACATTCTTTTTAACCATTTAGGACCGAAAAGGTGGGTTGTTTTTACTTTCTACTCTATTTTTAGCATCAACGCGAAGCAGCTGTGTGGGTGAGAGCCGTCGAATGCCCGTGGGCGAGGTCGTAATTGGTTTGTTTTGATTTCCCTTCACGCCACAGAGCATTGGATAATCTGCCTGGCTTATCATTATGGCCATTTTCTTCGCTTTTATGGATACGTGAGTACAGATGATTTAATTTTTCATGCAGCTACCCTTGCGATTGCTCTTGGCATCATCTTTGTGTATGTGCATAATGTTTAAATAGCTAAATGAGGCAAACAGGTGTTAAGCCAATACCCAATGACATTAGGTCTTGGCTTTTACTTATGACCTGTTATAGGACCTCAGAAGTTCAGGTTTAATTAAGATCTTACCCCCAAATCTATGCTGTTGTGTTAAATTGTAATTAGAATAAGTTAACTTGTTTATCCATCATGCTGTAGGAAAATGAAAAGTGGATGTGTTGGCTGTCCGTCGTAACTCTAAAGCGGCCCAGTTTCATGAATATTTGCTAAAGGACACACATAAATACATGATAGGAAATTATCATATCTTATTTAGCTACTTTTCCATCATTTAGATTAATATTTAGATATGGTTACTCCTGCTGAAAGATGAATCCAATCATCCTTAACCCGCGCCGGGCCGGTGCTCTGAGATTCCGCGCCGGGCCGCTGGGGGGGTTTGAACACCCCCCCTTCTAACTCGGCTCCTGGGCCACGTAGCGACACGCGGTAAGCGGCAATCGAAAGAACGTCAAAAATAAGGACGAAAACACTTCGGTCATTTTTTGGGTCAGGTCAAAGGTCAGGTCACTTGAGGTCACCAAAGGTAAAATGTTGACTATTTCAACATTTTGGAAACTGCCAACGGCTATCTCGGGAACCGATAGAGCTACAGCGCCGCAAAAAAGCGCATTCGATAGCCCTTTTACAGACCTTTCTGAGTAATGTTCTCAGATTTGACCTCAGGTCAACGGTTTAGCCTCCAGAGGGCAAAAACTCCAAAAATAGCCGTTTTTACGAAAAACGTTTTTTAGGCAATAACTTTTGACTCAAAAGAGCTATGACATTACTTTTGCCAGCATCGTGTTCCTCTCGTCGAGACGCGTCGAATGAACTATAATTTGACCTTGAAAGGTCAACTTGAAAATTTGACCTCAGGTCAAGGTCATGACCTGACCGGAAAAGGTCATGTTGCATATCAGTCGATCCGCAACGTCGAGCCGAACACATCTAAGGCGTTTTCAGCGCTCTAGCACGCCTCTATCAGAAGTTATCATCGAAAAACTGTTAGATTCTGTTCGTGACCTGAGATGACCTCGGGGACATAACGAGGGGTCACAGTTGCCATTTTATGGTTCAGTGTGTCTATTTTACCCACATCTCGATGTTTGAGCGTGTCTAGAATAGCGTTCGTGCAAAACAGACGCTTTTCAATTTTCTCCCATTGACTTATAATGGAGAGGCCGCAAAATTGACCTGACCTTAGGTCACCGATATCAAAATTCCGAGATATACATTTTATAGATAGTGTTGCTCTAATCAATCGCTGAAAGTTTCAAGGCAATCGTTCAGTCGGTGTAGCTATGACGAGCATTCTTATTTTTCTGAGGTGAGGTCACTTGGCGTGACCTGGTGACCTGACCTAAGGTGACCTGGGTCTGAAATTTTCACAACATGTGCGGAAAAGATGCACGAACAGGTGTGCCAAAAACGGCGGCGCTCCGCGCCGCCGTTTTTGAGATATCTGCGAAAAACCGCAAGGGGGGGTGTTCAAACACCCCCCCGGCCCGGCGCGGGTTAAGTGGAAATTTGAATTCTGTCATTTGTGGAAATGAAATATATTTTTGCTGCACAGTTCCTAAATTTAATGTACTCAAGAATGTATGAATAACATCCATAATTTTTTAGACTTTACTTCCATAGTTACATCACATAGTTCCACAAGTGTGCTCCTGCAATCATAAATCACTTTTCTGTTCCCAAGGAGGGGTGGAACCATCAACCCATGAATACCTATTGATTACCTAATGCATGATACACTGCTGCTTTAGGGTTATCTTGACAGGCTGGATTCTGCCTGCAGATGCATGTATTGAACTAGAAGTTCATGCTAAATTCAAGCCCAGCCCAAGACGTTTTGTCAATCTAAAAGCTATTGTCACTATGTGCTCATATCCATCCAGTTCCATGAAAGGGAAAATGTGTAAGACTAAGGTCATTGTCTTTTTTACCTTTGAGAAGAAAAAAGTTAAAATACTTTGAATGGTATGAATGAAGGTTTTGTATGCCTCAAGAAGTTCATGATAGGGGCATTATACCTATCCATATTTTCACTGCATGGCTGTCTTCTCTTTTATGCCACGTGGCCATCTGGAGCCCATCTTACTGCGTGTTGAAGGGGAGGGCTGGAGGGACCCTGGACTCTGCGGGACTATCCGTGATGCGTGACCGCAGTATGACGGGTGACTCGACCTCCGGTGGGGTGATGCGTCTGGTCGCAGTCCGTGGGCCAGCAGTGACCGTCAAAGAGGGATGTGAGGCGCCGACGGTTTCAAATTCAGAAGCCAAATGGACTCCCGAAACGACATGCATCGTGCCCTTTAATGACACGATGGCCAGCTCAGTTCGTCGCGGGACAGTAGACATGCGACTAATGATTGACCTTGTGTACAGAAGCGGGGTGAATGCTGGTGGATGCGTGAGTTACGAGACCTGTGTGCTATCCACCCCGAATTCGGACACCGAAGACGCGATCTACCTCCGACGGCCGGATCGTTTTCTTATGTCCTATGTCAACCTGGAATCGCTTTGTTTGTCTGTTAGCTGAGGTGTTTTGAGGTGGGATGCATCGACTGGGAGGTCTTTGTGCCCTCGTATCTTATCACTGCTGTGAAGTGATTCTTCGGCCTACCTTTAACACTCGTTCCTTACTGTTGACAGGACCCAATAAACTTCCGGGTCTCCAAATTCTCGCAGGAGCAAATTATACGCATCAACTACTTACCAGTAAGTACCGACGTTTTTGAACGTATCATTTCGGTCAATCATCTGCACGCTATTATCTTGTTACTTTTTCTGTTGACTTGCTCATAATTGCTAAACATCGATGAGTTTTGGCATCTAGTGTATGACTTGCGACTCGCACGTTATCGGTGTGAAATACGAGTACCGCTAGCTGCATGCTGTTATCGATGTTTCCATGAATTCGACGTAGCCCATTCCCGACGGACTGAGAGCACGTGAAGGAATTTACCAGCGAGCGACAGTTAGTGATCTATCTGAGCGCGCTTCGCTGGTGCTCTGGCCGGCCGATAACTGGGCGGCTGAGATGGACACTGGCGGTGCGACTGGCTGTTTCTGTTTGTAGTAACAGCGTGCAGCGTGCATACCGCTGAACAGCGTGAACAGTTCTGTTTATGAAGACGCACTGCAGCCGGTGCCTAATGGACCGAGGTGCCCGCTGAAACATCTATCAACTGAGTTATGTCACCCTCAAATGTTAAGCCCTATTTCATGCCTTTTGGTATGTATCGGTATTATTCGATGAAACAAAAGATACCTATGAGAGGTCGGTGACCGATATTGTTCACAGCGCTACCAAGTCGTCGTGTATCCTCCTCCTCTTCCGCCTCCGCCGCACCGCGAGTCTGTCGTTCACGCGATTGGTGTCCGGTTTCCCGACTGACCGTGCGGCGTTTCCCTCCGTCCGGTGTCGTATCTCGGGCGGGGCGCTCGGGCGCGTCCGCCGCCGTTCCTTTGCACGACTCCGGCACGGCCCGAGCACGCCCCGCTCTCACGCCATGGAAACCAAACACGGGCCGAGCTCGCCACCGCCGGCGGCCTGTTGCCACGCGCCGTGACGGCCGCTGTTTTTCTGTGTCGGCTCGCCGGGCCTGTGTCAGCAGTGACGGCCAGTGAACGGGTCTGGACGGTACAGAGAGCTGTCGCAGTGGGCGCGCTATCGGCGCCGGGCGCACACCGCACGTCCGTCCCGGCAGTGGTCGCAGATAACCGTGTCCGTTCCTCCTCCGGCGGCGGAGTGGAGGACCAGAGGTGACCGAAGCGGCAGAGGTGACGTGACGGTCGTGTTTCAGCCAGGAGCGAGCGCCCGCCGTGCGCCAGCCGCCGCCATGGGGGAGGACCTGCCTGAAGAGGAAGGCATGACGTGAGTGACGACGATGTTGCCGACGCCGGTGGCTTGGCTTCGGCGATTGCCGGGTGGCTGGGCTTCCACTGACCCGTGCATGACAGCCGCTTTGACATGTGCTTCCAGGATGGTGGTGGTGGCACTCGCTGGATCTACTAACCCTTGCATGACAGTGGAGCTGGGTGGTGCCTACTGGTGCTTTTTCAGGGACTGGTGACGGTCTACATCTTTGGATTACTTACGATACTAACCTTGAGAGAGTTCATGCTTTCAGCAGTGGCACATGAATGATGGTGGCTTTACTAACCTTTGCGTGATAATCGCTTCTTCCAAGGTATGGCGTTTGTTTCTCTTGGTAACGCTTTGGGTTTTGTCCTCTGGTGATTTTGTCCATGAACTTGTGAATATTTGGACGTTGCTACTTACCAGCTCTTCTGATAATGAAGGAGCTTTATAATGAAGTTTTAATTTTAAGACTAGTTTTCTGTGTGCTAGGTCATTGCTTATGTACACGGTAGCTAACGTCTGCAAGTTTGCAATGATTGGCGGCTTTCGGCAATATATCGGTTTGTATTATAGCAGTACGATAAGCCCCGATTTGATAAGTCGATCTCTGCGGAGCTGTTAATATTGAGTTTCTGATAGGAGCCAGTAATTGTTTATATTCGGTGGCACAAGCCCTCTGCCCTAACATTTGACGCTGACGACGTAAACATCTTTTGTTGGCGGTGTTACCGGGTCCGTTAGACTCGGCAGACCTACCGGTTTTTCGCCTATCGTAAAAAATGTCTACATATGCCTCTCGGCCTTTCCAATTGTCTATACCTGAGTGAAAATTTCACGAAAAAGATCTTTTAACTCATCTCGAGACATAGAATTTCGAGGCTTTTAGCCGCATGTTGACTGGTGTTCCTGGGTCATCGGACGTCAATTTAACTTTTCGTTTAATTTTTTGAATTTATCTTCGGACGTAATCGTGACGACTGTGGGTGCCATTTCATGTTTGTCTTGCAAATCTGCGTTAGGCATTTATGCAGCACATTTTTAGCGTGGATTTATGCGTGCATAATCGTAGTCAATAGTCATGGCCATTGATCAGGTGATGAAGATTATGAACTGCAACTCAATTCCATCTAATTATTGATTGAGTAAAGTCGTGCATTGCGTAACTTATTGTCCCGATCTAAAAGGTAAACTATTGTCGCAATATGCTATGGCGATCAATTAGCTAGGAAAAATAGCAATTAAGAAACGTTTTTTGGACTTTGTTAGTGGATGTTTAAGGATGACGTAAGATTCACAACAAGACACATATTTAACAATCCTTTTTCAATTATTCAACATAGATGTGGAAGAAATATTTGAAGTAAGTTTTATTGCTGTTCTTTGAATCTTATTTTGGTTCCTGTATTACGCACAGCAGTCTTTCGTAACTCTCGGAAATGCCGTTTATCAAGAAGCAAAACACCCATTGTTATCCATTCTCGTCGTATCGGAAACCTTGAACTCGATGCGTGGGGCGCCGTAGTATGTGAGGTTCATACCGACGGGACCATCCCCCGTTTCGTAGTTTGTTCTAACGTCGCTTCGTCTCGCTCACTGAAGGCCCAACCCATACGTCACCACGCGCGGCTCGCATACCAACCTGTCTCGATGTGGCCGCTTTAACCACGCACCTGCGTAAGGCTGCGTCTGTGCCTGACATTGGTGACGGCGTCTGTTGGTGCGCGCTGCAGTGGTCAGCACACCGGGGGAGGGGGGCAGGTCTGCCGACTGCCGCCGGCGGACTATCGCAATCTGGGTCGAGGGCGGCCCACCGCCGCGGCGACCCCGACCCGACCTGACGTCTGTCTGCCCGGTGGCCTGTCTGTGTGCTGTGCCTCGCGGCTGTGTCAGCCTGTCCCCGTGAGAAGCTGCGGACGTCTGTTGACCCAGCGCAGACCGGCGCTGTGTGCCCATTTCCATACACACACCGATGGGGGGGGGGGGGGGGGCGTCCTCGCTGCGTCGGTGGTAAGGAGCGCGCCCGCTGCATATCGGCCGATCGCGCGCGGCCGCCGGCTGACTGGTCGCCGGTGTGTATACAACCGCTCGGCGGCGGAGGCGCGGCCCGACGGTGGCGAAATGACCGCCTCAAGGTCCCGACGGGCCCGGCCCGGCCCGCTCGGCAGTCTGCAGTTGGCGGTGAGCGCCGGCCAGTGCCGCGGCGACTACGGCCGAGCTGCAGCCATGGGCCGCAACACGGTGGTCGAACGCGTCGACGAGGTGATTGAGGTGATTCTGTGCCCGCCGCCCGACATACAGGAGCCCAAGGATGTGTTCCCGTGAGTAGGAGGGGGTCGGGTGTCCGTCTGTCTCGTCACGTCCGGCCCCGCTGCTGGTGTGGTGGTTGGCACCTGTTGCAGTTCATGTTTTATGTTTAGGCATCGATCCTGTTTTTGTGTTTTGGATTGCCATTTTGTCATGTTTTGATGATGTCGATTCTGACAAACATGACCGAAGTGCACCATCACACCATCACGCTTGAATCACATTTTCGTAGGAAGAAGGTCGTTTCCCTACACTTTCGTGGTGTCCTTAAATTAACCCGCGCCCTGCTGGGGGGGTGTTTGAACACCCCCCCTTGTGGTTTTTCGCGAATATCTCAAAAACGGCGGCGCGGAGCGCCGCCGTTTTTAGTATACCTTATCATACATCAATTCTACACATGTTGTGAAAATTTCAGACCAAGGTCATTCAAGGTCAGGTCACCAGGTCACTTGAAGTGACCTCACCTCATAAAAAGTTTCAATGTCTGTCATAGCTACACCGAGTGACCGATCGCTTTGAAACTTTCAGCGATTGCTAAGAGCAATAGCATGTACAAAATGTATATCTCAGAATTTTGATATCGATGACCTAAGGTCAGGTCAATTTTGCGACCTCCCCATTCAATGGGAGAAAATTGAAATGCGCCTCTTTTGGATGAAAGACATTATAAACACTCCCAAACACCGAATTACAAGTGGTTTAGACACACTGAACTTGAAAATGGTGTCCGTGACCCTTGTTTATGCCCTGAGGTCATCTTAGGTCACGAATGGTATCTATCAGTTTTTCGCAAATAACTTTTGATAGAGGCATGCTAGAGCGATGAAAACGCCTTAGATGTGTTCAGCTCGACGATACGGATCGACTGATATGCAACATGACCCTTTCCGGTCAGGTCATGACCTTGACCTGAGGTCAAATTTTCAAGTTGACCTTTCAAGGTCAAGTTATAGTTCATTCGATGCGTCTTGACGAGAGGAACACGATGCCGGTAAAAGTAAGCTCGTACAAGGCTTGGGTCAAAAGTTATTGCAGAAAAACTGTTTTCGAAAAAATCGGCTATTTTTGCAGTTTTTGCCCCCTGCAGGCAAAACCGTTGACGTTAGGTCAAATCTGAGAGAATTACTCAGAAAGGGCGTTAATAGGGCTATCGAATGCGCTTTTCCGCGGCGCTGTAGCTCTATTGGTTCCCGAGTTATGCGTTGGCTTCTTGGAAATTTTCGACATTCGACCTGGAAATCGGCGAAATTTTGCCTTCAATGACCTCTGGTGACCTGACCTTTAACCTGACCAAAAAATTGACCGAAGTGATTTCGTCATTATTTTTTACGCTCTTTCGAACGCCGCCTTCCGCGTATCGCTACGTGGCCCAGGAGCCGAGTTACAAGGGGGGTGTTCAAACACCCCCCCCCCCCAGCAGGGCGTGGAAATCCAGGACCCCCAGCAGGGCGCGGGTTAACAAATTCCTACGCTAACCGGCCGCCTCTCCGAGTCAATGCTATCTGAATTAACATAGACATGTGGGAAAGACATTGCGTTATGGCAGAAAGATCGTCGACGACAAGAGCTCATATTGCTGAACCTAACATAAAAATCATTCCCAAAGTGAGCTAAAATTTTCGCGTTAAAATGGGCTGTTAGCTTTCATGCAGTGCATGCGTGCTGTTCATAATCAAGTTGAGCGTATACAAAAATCAAGAATCAGCAGTTTAACTCCGACATGTTTCATACAGCACGCACTGAGCACATGCTAGTCGGTATTGCTGTACCGTTTATTTCTTACAGGATGGCGCTGACTGTATGTCTGGAATGTATCTGGTTCGCCCACGCCGACCGATAAGCTGGTGTCCATAGTCCCTGCAGACGCTGGTGTTTGTTTATGTGCGGCCAGCGATGTCGTCTTCCCGTTTTGCCGTAGCCGATAGTAAAACTGGTCGGAAATACACCAATTTCGTGTCACTACCGATCAACCGATCATTGAGTCGTAGTCGATTGTGCCACTACCGATTAGCTCGTACTCACCTCTGCAGACGCAATTTTGTGGCTTCTTCGCTCGGAGCGTATTAGGTATGTTGCGAACAAGATAACGCCAAGAGTCCCATAAACAAACGACCGCAGCTCAGTTTCGGTTACTGCGTGTCAGCATTATCTCCCCATTCAGCCCACGTCGAGTCCTTCACTGTGAGGGGTGCGTCAATCCTGCGTGTTTGTCCTGAGCTCCCAGGTGCAGCCGTGACCCCTGATCTTCCCCGTGCCATTGCTATTCACACTGCGCACTGTTGGTCCGGTGTTCGACCGACCGGCTCTCGGCTCTCGGTCACGGTCACGGTCACGTCTGGTCAATCGGCCGAACCATCTCCCGATCAGCTCTCGCCATTGTGGCGGCAGTTGTGAGCTCATTGACTGAATCGTCGGCTCAGTGCACGGGTTAGCCTGCAGCCTCCCCACCGACGAACTCATGGTCACTCGCCACGGACCGGATCGCGCCGGATGTTGTGGATAGCAACTGCCGATGTGGACATGTCCCAACACCTGTGTTCTGCCCGTCACCCGGCGCTGGACTGGTGCCGGAACCATGTCTGTGGCCCGCTGACTCTCGTGTTACATCCGATACACGTGCTCGTCTTTGATGTCTGGGATCGCCAGGTAGCGCCGGTGTTACGATGGGGGGTGGAAGTCGGGGGCTGAACGAGCGTCTGCCGTCTGTCGTCGGGGGCGTGTGTATGTTATAGGTCTCCCACGCGGGTCGACAGGCGCCGCGCTGAGTCGGGACTGATCAAATAAACGGCCGATATGCCGCCGGAGAGATGCAAAACGGCGACATTGTTCCCCTGACATCTCGCGGTGACTGGGTGGTTCACGGGGCAGTCAGCAGGCTGTCACTCATTCTGTTTAGCTGAAGGACTGTGCTTCACATCTCCATGCGTTACCGATAGACACTAGCGTCAACAATGCTTCACTTACCCTTAACCCGCTGCACAATGCCACGCTGTTTCGCTCACGGTGGTATATTTAATCGACAGGAAGGAAACAGACAATCGTTATTGATTGATCAATAGCAACAATAGCTTGGATTACACTACAGGCCTCGCGTGTATCGTTGGTGTCGCGTCTCTCATTTATAATCGTATTCTTAGCCCCTTTGCAACCAACATAAAGGCCTTGTTTCGTGCAAAGGCGGTCACCATTACCAGAATGGCTTACTTTCAGCTAATTGCTCGTTAGCCGGTAATCCGGATGTGGTGCGAACACGGAGGCAGTTATCGTTGCGCGCGCAGTAACGGGTGCCATGGTCATTGGTCATACAATGGCCAACAGTTCATCGTCAGGCCTTCTGTGATGACTTACTGTGATCGGCCACCCAGCAACCAATAACATTGCGCAATGCCGAGGTGCTGTATGTGCATGCGGCGGGAGGTTCTCTGGTAACAGGTGTCCCTTTCATTCGAGGTTGTAGTAACGACGTAGCGTGGACCATAGCATGGCCACAGCGAGACCTAGCTGGCTCCAGTGGCTATTTTTCTTTAGATTTTTTTTTAATATGGTGTGATATACCGCGTTGTCTACCTTGTGTAACTAACAAACCTCTTTTTTGTGTCTCGCTACATTACGATTATAATTTCGGTTCGCCACCATTGCGGTACCGCGGTTTCGCCGACGCGCTGCAGAGCTGATGTCCGTCCAGTAATTTGTTTATCGCCTGCACCACTTCGGTGGCCTGGCACTGGACTGGTACGCGGAAGGTAGACTGCCTGCTTAAGTTTGTTAAGTTGAGCGTATTGCCTGCCATAGACAGGTTTCGCAAGTCGCGTAGTTCCAACACGTGTTTTTTATAACCATAATATAGACTGATGGTTATCTATTAATGTTATTAGTGTTAACGATGCAGCATCCAAGTTAGGTCAAGGAGACGTTAAAAAATCGGCCGGCGACGCCGAACGCGACCGTTAGGCCTTTGGGCTTCGACCTCGCTTGTCCTTCCTTTGCACGCTGTCTTGTCGGAACGTATGGCTGGCCTGCATGATCGCTTCTGCATGTAAGGGCGGGTTTTGATTGGATGTCACGTCACACTTGTCTCGGTGAGAACCCCACTGACCATCTCTTGCATTTAAGTCTTCTCTACTTCCTTAAACCGAATTGCAATGTTGTTGAACATGTCTCAATAACAACCTGTCTCAACTCTCAATGACTCAACACTTCACATTCTGTCTATATCGCGCAGCCTAGGTTTGTTTGCGTTTCTCACATGACTAAGCTACCTAACTTTGTGCGCAACTCCTGTGTCGATAAGCAAAGACGACCAACAGCACACTCTGACGCTGATGCTAACAACCTTTTCACTTCTCATTCCATCCAGGGGTTGGGTGTTCCCACCTCTCATTCTACTGGATAAATCCGCTCATTTTGCGTGGTACGTGATGCTTTACTTGACGTGACGAATAGGGGCAAGTCATGGCATTTGACACGTGCCGGCCTTGGGGACCTGTCGACATTCATACCGTCAAGAGAGACTCCTCCATCTTCCAGGGCGAGCGGCCGTCTTCGACCCTCCCTCCCTGAGCCCGCTCTGACCCTCCCTTCCGGCACTTCGCAGGGCTTTGGACCGCTACAAATTCTCGTGCAGCTACCCGCAGTTTTTACCGGGAATGGCGTGCCATGGCTCCGGCGATGATCCCGAGGTCCGCGTGCTCAAACTTCACGACAACGACCACCAGGACACCACCCTCTACCGGCTGACCAAAGGTGGGTGGTCGCCGGCGGTCGGACCGAAATCCGTCGCACAGTGGAAGCTATGGGTAGCTTGGCTAAGGACTTAAAAATACCAGGATGGTAGGGTAATGATAGTTTGCATTAGCACCATTTCATGTATGTTTTTAGCGGCGGTGCGCTCATTTCTTGTCGTGTTGAGCCGTGGTCGTGTTAAACAAGACCTTTGTATTGTGCAGCTCTTGAAATGAGTCGTAACCGTACACCGGGCGGGCATATTGGCACGTCCGCCATCAGCGCTGCGTTACAGTCGCGCCCGATTGAGTTTGTTGTTCTGGTGTAATGTTGCCACTCGATACCCGGTTCAGTGCATTATCTGATGGTGTGTCGAGTATTTTGTCGGTCCGCAAACACTTACTCTCATGGGCCAAAGCGCCGTAGCGCCTTTCGAAAGTCTTTTAGTAACACGATGTTACCCTAACTTAATCCTTCAGGGAAAAATATCGCGATTCTTAACCTTCACATTACCGTCATTCGTTTCGTCCTCGTTCTTTGACCTTGTTCCCCTTCGATCTCGCTCCATGCCGTCATTTTACTGTGCTTGTCGTTATTGATGTCTCTCCGGCTGCAATCGTAGTGTAGCCTATCGGCTCTGGAGGGTCCTGAAGGCGGCCACCAAGAGCAGCCACCACGTCGCTGTGCCACACTCATATCACTGTAATTGTGTCTTTGTTGGCTCGCCGCAGGTTTTGTACTCCACTTTCGCCTGGGCCGTCGCTGTTTGGGCGCATCGTATCCGTGTACAGCAACCACCCGGCGTCAGCCGACGAGGAGTTTTGCCGCGACAAGTAGCCGATGCCCTGGAAGTCGGACAGCAAGATCATCGACGACAGAGCATCTTCGTCGAGATCCCTATAGTGCGCGCCGGCTCGTTCCGCTACTATTTCACACTCGGAAGGGTGAGTAGCCGGCTGTAGTTGCGATATGCTGCTCTTCTGTGTGTACATAGTTGAGTGCTGTTTGGCGGATGGATGAAGTTTTCAAGCTGTGCGAGGCCTGATTGGTAACTGGTGAACTGTTGCCCTTGTGGACAATGTATTCTGGGTTAGGTAAATCTCGTGATTGTGAGCAGGGCAGAATATTGAATGTTTTTTAACTGAGCATGCATTTCAGATAGCGATGTGTGTGACAGAACGCCGTACCAGGCAGCGTTGTTTGCTGTCACCG